GGAGGCGCGGAAGGCACCGGACGAAGCGGACGAGAGCCAGTGTGACTCGGGAATCGAGTCTCTGCGCTCTCTGCGCTCCCTCCCCGAGCCCAGCCCGGGCCCCGTCTCCCGGCCCTCGGACGGCGGCGGCCCGCAGCCCTGGACCAGCCCTCCGGGGACCGCCGAGGCGCTACCAGAGGAGGAAGACGCGGATGGGGAGCGGGCTGACTCCACCTACGGCTCCTCCTCGCTCACGGAGCCCCTGTCCTTGCTGGGGGACCCCGAGGCCGAAGACCCGGCCCCACGCTCGCCGCTGCCCCCCGCGGGAGCGCTGAGCCCTCAGCAGCTGGAAGCGCTCACTTACATCTCGGAGGACGGAGACACGTGAGTACGGGGGCTAGGCTGAAACGGGATGCTAACTGGTAGCAGGCCAGGCACCCCTGCCCCCCATGAGGATCCCTCCAGGCATTCGCCTCGGAGGGGGCAGTCCCCACTCCCTCTTCCAAACTCCAGACTTAGCTCTTAGCCCACTTTTGAAGTCTAGCCAGGCCCACACCAGAAGACCTGGCATCGTCTCTCAGCCCTCCGTTTTGGGAGTGGGCAGAACCGGCAGGGCCCTTTACTCGGGCATCTGGTACCCCAGCTAGCATATTGGAAATCTACCAATAGCCCACTCCGAGGAAGAGAAAATTCCCCTGACCAGTCCGGTTTGTTGTTGTTTACTTGCTGGGGAAGGGGGGCATCCTTGTTTGCTCAATATCTGGGATTCCCAGCTCCCGACCTCAGAATGCCCTGTCTCAAAGAACAAGAGATGCCAGTTGCAGGTTGCCAGCTGGGGGCCAGGAAACAAGGGGAGCAAAGTTGGGGCTGGCCCAGAGGAGGACGGTGTGAGCTAGGCTGGCGTACTCTTGCCCCAGCAGACAGACAAGTGGCTGGCTGCCTTAACTTACTTCCTTCCCTGCTGAGAAAGGGGAAGTGAGGGCTGGAGTAAGCCTCCTCAACACCCTCTAACTCCAGAGCCCCCAGGTCTCCCTCACTGTCCCATCTTACCCCTTCATTTTACTCTTCCTACCCTAGGTCCAGGTGGAGTTTGCTGGGGACTGGACCAGAAGGCAGTTGTGTGGGATGGACTGGTCAGTTGAGCTCTTAGCCCCCAAGAAGAAGAAAACACTGACAGAGGAGGGAGTGGCTGGGATTGGGAGGGGGG